CACTTCGCTGGCTCCATACTGAAGATCGAATGGCCAGGAAGAATTAGTGACGAAAACTCTGGCAACAAGCCAAGCAAAAGCCGATCGCTCAACAAATATGTGGGAGAAAATGGAGATGAATTGTTCGGGCATACATTGAGGAGGCCGTCGAATGACATCGCGCAGTGCATGCCATAGCTCGAATAGAATCCAAGTGGGAAGCGACGAATGGGTCGTCCCAGCGTGACATGGAGATCGTGTGACGAGGAGATGAGGGAGTCGCTCAACCGCAGTCTCTAATTATGACATCAGACTCAGTAGGCATTCTTTTTTGTTCCTTTGTGTTCCAAATAGATCTTAGGGTTTCAAGCTTAAGCTTTGAAGTTCCAGTAACAGTGATGTTTTTACGGGGTGGGGTTGCCAGCCTCACACCCAACCTTCTCTATTTTTATCATCCTTACAACTGGCTAGGGGAGGTGAAGATGTGCGCCGGCCGAGAATCGAATCCCAGACCACATGCACAGTCGGCGAGCATCTTGCCCGCTGAGCCACCGGATAATGCCGGTCGATATTCCACATATACACTGGCTTAATAGTTATATTATCTTTTATCGATAGATGGATAGCTGTTATATCTATTTATAGAAAGCTGATTTTTAAGGGCGCTGTTGCTAGACATTATATCACTTAAAAACACTACTGAACATTATTATTGTTGTTGACGTTATTTTTGTCGTATGCTGAATATGAATAAATACTTCAATATCGAGATTTACTAATTAATTCAGCAAAGAAAAAATCACTGTATGCTTGTGATGTGTGTTTATATATATATATATATGCGTATATGTTTTCTCTTTTCGTTTTTTTCACTCTGATTTACATGATCATGAAAAGGTGAAATATGAACTATTTTGTACACTTGTGAAAAATAACCAACTACTTTTTATTTTTCCGCTCAAAAAAAATTTGTATATGCACTATTATTTAATTATACATAGATGTACAAAGTATCATTAATGATGCTCTATTTCGCCGATACCTGTGTTTGCAGATTTTTCACTAACCAAGCTGATTAAGTAACAAACTCGAATACTTTGTTATTTATTATCATTCCATAAATAGTACCGATTAGCTTGTTTTATCTTTCTCTCTCTCTCTCGCGCGCGCTCACGCGCTCTCAATCACATCTTAGTTTTTGTTCAGTGTTAGAGATAAGTGGAATACACTTAATCCATCTTGACTATGCACTTAGTGTTTTTATATAAAAGGACTATTATTTAAGGATTCCAAAGGATGATTTCTCAATTCCAAATTTCGTTTCTGTCGTTAACAAAAATGATGATAATGTTGTTGACTGACTCAATTATATATATATATATATATATGTAACGTTTTTATTTAATTTTATTGAAAAAATGTCTCAATTTTCTCTTGTTGTTTTAATGAAATAATCGTGTGGATGATAATAATAATAATAAAGCTGCCTTTAAGTTGACGGTATGCCTTTAGTTAGTGTGCGTCGGTGGCACAGGGGTTAGGACTCTCGCCGACCATGCAGCTGGTCCGGGGTTCGACCAGCTGCCGACGCACACCTGTGATATCTATGGTCAGCCTACAAAATTTGGGCTACCGATATCACATGCTGAAAATTCCATACTTGTATCAAAAATACTGTGTGGGGTCAAGCTATAATAAAAAAATAAAAAAATAAGATGGCTATCAGGGTACTTGTGTTGTTTTCATCATAATTTATGCGCAGTCCTTAATAGTTTTACAAAGATTGGACCTGTGGTCCGAAATGATGTAGGCAATTAATCAACTTTTAGGTGTTGACTCACACGTGGGTTCTAACATTGCTCTACTTTTTTGAAAGTTTAGGTAGTCCAGGTTGAGAATACTATCATTCATTAGCTCTTAGAAACAAAGTAGGTACTAACTGCATAAAAATACAATTCTATTAGTTCAGTAAAGTATATTTTTATAATTAACTGGGATGAAATTATGAGTTCAAATTTTCGCCTTCATATATTAAAAGTTTAGTATAAATAGATAGTTTCTGATTAAGTACAATGTATTTTCACTATTCAAGTAAGTAGCTATTAATAGCGTCTTAAATTGTCTATGTCTATTGTCTTAAATTGTCCATCTCCCGCGTGAAGTGGTATAATAAGGTGAGCAATATTGAGGTTAGACGTCGAGTACTAGGTAAGGAGAGGAAATCAATTGACGAGGCTGTGAAATTACATCGACTGAGATGGTTAGGACATGTGTTACGTATGCCTAGTCATCGCCTCCCTCGACGGGCAATGTTAGCTGACATAGGGTCAGGCTGGAAAAGAGCTAGCGGCGGTCAAACCAAAACATGGCGTTGGTCAATGAAATCTACAACAGTTAGTCTAGGCCACGTAGGAAGGTGTAGACTTGCTGATTGGGGTCCTCGGGACGGTAAAAACCAATGGTTGGAAACAATTGGTGATATGGCTCAAAATCGTTCTCAATGGCTTGTGCAGATGCATCCACTCCTTGTGACTTATGATTTCCGATGAAACTGTTTTGTTCCTCGTTATTACTATTCCATTGTCTCACACCTCTGTTTACTGTCTCTAATATGCATTTCTTCTACTTTCTTCTCTTGCTTTGTGTGCTACATGGAGTGTGGCGACTTGAACTGCTGCACATATGTGCAAAGTTCTGTGTCGAAAACCGACCGACTGATGTTAAGATGGTTTAAATCAACATATAATTATCGTACAAGAGTGAGTACATACTCTTTAGACGTCGTTTATTCGTAACAGTTATCTAAGTCTGCTTGTTCAAGGTGTTTTTTTCTTGTTATGTTTCGTAAAGCGTTGAGATTGAAATAGAGACGCCAAGTTGGACACACGTGCTGAATACGAATACTGCTTGACTACACCAACAACATTATACAACAGCTATCTGTTTCCTCAGTCCGCACTACTCAAGCGAGAACACAGAACGTTGTGAGCCGCAAAGTATATATTTTTATGCAATCATGTATGATTCAAAATATCACCAAGGTTACGCCAATTAGTCTGTAGTCATGATCAATAAAATAGTGGGCGTTATTTTACGGAGGTCACTCCTGTGGGCCAATTTTGATTAGTTGATTTCCAGACTTATAATTGTTCTATAACTATCAAATATCTTCTAGAAGGGAAAGATCAAGAGCTATATTCTCTGAGATCTTTTCGTCGCCTTATTAACTCTTGACAAAAGGGATTTTAAGCATGGTGAAATTCATGGCGGTTTGGATGCTTGTCAGAATACAAAATGCCTTACAAGTGTTCCAGCAGTAGAGTGCTCGCTAATCACATACTTGGTGCAGGGTTCAATTCCTTGCTTGTCTGGTAGTACGAGTGAAAAAGGGGAAATGTTGGGCGTAAGGGCTAGCAAACCCCACCCCATAATAAAGAATAACACCATTGCCACCGAGACTTCAAAACTGAAGCTTGAAGCCCTTTATTCCACTCGGAACTCAAAGGAATGAAATAAAAAAATTTTTAAATAACACTTCATGGATGCAAATGTGCAGTTCACTTGTTTCCGAAGTCCATTCAATAATCATCACTTAGCTAACATAATCTTAAGAAACATGAAATGCAAACATTTTTGACGTTATCTTATCTTGATTTAGTATAAATTTAGTGTTTATTCCTGTTTTAATTAACAGTTGTACCATATTTATGAGGGAAAAAAGTTTTCTGATAATACACACAGCATTTTTCATACAGAATATAAGATAAGAACATTAAATATGCTTGTTATTTTCGTTTCATTCAGGGGGTGTATCATGATCTCTTCGTTATCAGACTGATACGGTATCAGTTATGTTAGTACTTTTTATATATATATATATATATATATATATATATATATATATATATATATATATTCACCAATCATTCGAAATTATAACTCGGCTTTACACAGTGGTGGATCTATTGATTAGTTTTTTGTAATTGCTGAATGTTTACAACGATTTAGCAAAAAAAAACAACAACTTGTAAGAGTAGAATATGAACACCGAGGTAAAATGTAATTCCATATTAGATAAGTTTAATTCATGTAATTCGCCGTGGTACATAATAATAATAAATAATACTGTATCAGTTGTGTGTTATATCAGTAAGTTTGCAATGTTTGGCTAACAGTCAGGACATTTAACACAACTGTGTTAGCGGGCTAACGTCTCTGTGATTGTAAATAATCTTAAAAATTAACACAATGCTAAAATGCTTTCATTCTCGTGTATGTTTGCATACACTTTATTCACTCTACATGGATAGTCTCTTGAACTTGTCTTAGAAAAGAGTCAAGGGTTAACTACGCCAACTGAGTGTGCTATTTCGCATCACTGTCTTTTGGGTTTTCAGCGAGAAACACCCATTGAGATGCCTGTTTTAAATTAGGAAAGACCAATGCTGTAAGCTTAATAATAATAACATCTTATCCTGGCACTCTGTCTATGGTTCTAGGAATCTTTGAAGGTTGTTAGTGTGTGTGTGTTTGTTTATTTATCACTTTGCACGTTGATTGCGAAAATATCGATTTAATCGTTTGTATTATCTAATTTCCCACTTATTTTGCCTAACAATATGGATGTAGTCGTCGTTTTTAAAACATTCTCAACACTTGACCACTATATACACAGTAATGAAATTCTTACTTCATTAAAGGAAAAGATGAAACTAGGGCTGACTATTTCAAATCAACACTGGTCAAAATTCACGCTGAAAAATATCCGTAACCTAATTTCACTGTCAAATGGATAACCGAATGGTTTATTGTTTGTACACAGCTTATTGTAGAGTGTTGTTACTCTCTGATCTAGGGGTGATGGCGGCAGCTAGGTAATGAGCCGTCACACTTCAGGATGTAAGAGAATCACTGACGACTGTGTGTAAATGTTTCTTTCATAAAGCTTATTCATTCATTCCGTTCATTTTGTCCCATACAAATATATTTATATATATATTTTTCAATTTTGTTGTTAACAGGTTGTAGTTATAGTTATCATATGCGTATTCGCCAGTTTCTTTCTTCAACCAAAATTGATACCATTGCCAAGATCTAATACACTTATTTATAATTCAACAGTACCAAACAATGTTACAGCTTATGCTAAATTCACTAGTTTAAATGGTGATACACTGAAAGAAAATATTTTACGTAAGTATCAACGTTATCATTATTATTGATGTATATGTATATATTATTATTATTATTGTATCCTTTAATTCCTAGAGGAACATAGGGCTTCAGCCGTGCGTCTCCATTGCGTTCGGTCTTCACCTGGCTCCATGTCTGCCCACACGTTTTCATCTCCTCTTCACATGACCTCCTCCAAGTCACCCTCGCACTGACGACCAACTCGCCGCTTCCCTTTCGGGTTCCACTCGAGCAATGGCTTGTCTAGTGATGTCACTTGATGGTTTCCTCAGAGTATGGCCAATCCATCTCCATTTCTTCCCGTCTATTTGTTTCACAATCGGTTCCTCGTTGGTTCGCTCATTGCCAGAGATCTCTGTTGCTGATATTTTCGGCCATCTGATCTTGAGTATTGAGCGAAGACAACTGTAAATGAAGGTCTGTAGTTTGTTTGAGATGCTCTTTATGACGCGCAGTGCAAGTCTCTGATCCGTATAGTAGCACTGACTGACTTCACATTGGAGTTGAAAATCCGGATGTTATTTTTGATGCTGAGTGTTGTTGACCTCCACACAGACTTGAGAGTAGTGAAAGCTTGTCTTGCTTTTCCGATTCTTGCTTTGATATCCTCGTCAGTTCCGTTTGCCTGAAGTTGAAACGATGCTTCCCAGGTAGGTAAAGGAGGTTGTTTCTTTCAGGTTCCTCCCATTTATGCTGATTGTTGTCTGTTGTTGTTGTTGCTGGTGGTGGTGTTTATATATATAAACATATTATCTAAGGAAATTCAGAAATGAGTGTGATTGTTGTTTCGTCTTTGCATTTTTCTAGCAAATCATTGTTTTTATGTAATTCTCTCACACTGATTTTGTTGAACATTTCGAGGGCATTGCTTAGTAGTAAGCAATCCTAGGCTTTTAGGTCGCATTAATAATGTGCTGCACCCGTTTTATGCAGTGTTTTATAAACTTATTTTCATTGCCTGCTTACCTGTTACAAGCTTGTTGTTGTTCCATTGATTTATACGTTGTTTTTTTTTTATAAAAGTCTGGCTAAGTAAAACAACTGTGTGTGATGCTCGTTTTCATATAGTAACGTCGTGATTGTTGGTTGTCGAGGATACACATCGTTTGCACATCATCCACGGAAATTTAAACCATAAATTGATTGCATGACCTTGAAGATCCTCCGAAAATCAATCAATCAGAGACCGTCCAATCAGGTCATCAAGTCAGTGCATGCATCAATCATAACGCATGGCTAACGACGATAGGTTGTTCATCCTAACAGTGTGACAACCAGATCAATGTAATAGTATGAGACTGTATAACCATTTGTTAGGAAGTAGTAGTAAGGCTAAGTGAACTTGTCTGGTTTTACAATTTTGGAAATCTATCAAGGATGTGTCATCTTGTGGACAATCCATGTCCCCATACTTATTTTTGCTTTCATATGTGGTGACGTGGAGGAGATCATGTGAAGAGGAAATGAAAGTTTGTCAGCAATTATGGAGCCAGCTTGAAGAATGAAATGGAGATGCACAGCTAAACCCGCCGCCCTTGCGTCCCACTTGGAACCCAAAGGAATAATATAATGATAATGCTTCAGGATGCGTGTGTTGTGATGCATATTCACTCCTTTTAGAAAGACGTTATTCTGCATAAACCCCGAAATATTTTGGTTGTGAAAATTATAACCTCTGATCTTAGGATTTGTGGGACACCATTCCGTTAGTGTGGGTGTTTTGTGCTCCGCCTTTATTACAGCTGACTTCCTTCTAATCTGATCAGAAATTATCAGATAATGGGTTTTGTACCGATTCGGATTGATCTCGATGCAGATTTCGTCAAAAACTCACATCAGCTATAGTCTCGTTGGAAACCAAGAGGCACTGGACAGATATCTGTCTCTGTTTCGAGACTCCACAGCAGAGCATACCTATCATGGCTGGAACTCTAGCACTTACAGTTACAAGGCTGGTTCGTTGATCATTTACAAATTGATCACAGAATTCCGTTCTTCTAGTGACTACTGAATGGTAAACTAAGTGACCTCGTAATCTTAAGGTTTCGGTTTCCAACCGTGGTAGGATTTTGAATGCTCAGTGCTCTGAGGCATCTCAAATTAGAGTGAGGTAGCTGTGCACTTCTCCTTGGTTTTCTCGTCGGTGGTGAAATATTCTTTGATGAAAGTAAAAAGTGGCAGAAGTTAGAATTCATGGACAATTGGATCGGGTCCCAGTGGTTTAATGGTATACGAGCTCGCCTTGTAACCAGACGGTCCTGGGTTCGAATCCCGGTGGGTGCGTACTGATGAAGAGTCCCAAACTAGGACGAAACAGCTGTCCAGTACTCCCAGGTTTTCCAATGGTTCTCTAACTAATGTCAGCTCACGATGAAAATCTTGTAAAAACTGTCAGTTTGACTGACGAACAAAACTGAATGTATATCATCAGAGCTGGAGACTGAATCACATTTTTTTCACAACACTGTTGCTTTTCCTCCTTATCCAGTATTGCTTATGACATTATATAGTCAAACGAAGCACTCTTCATTGTGCACAACACTGTTTGTCTGAATTCTTTTCCTTCAGGAGAAAAAGAGACAAATTTCTCAGCTATGCAATTTTTCGTTCGAGCATATAAATTCAACTAACAGTCTTGTTATTTTTATGCATTATTTTGAATTAATTATCTAAGTTTCTCATATTCTTCTCTCTCTCTGTTTTTCTTAATATTTTTTTTTCGCATCTATCATGTAGCTATGTATTCTACTGATTATACTACTGGCTCAGTGACATCATTTGTGATCGTTTTCTCTGTGCTATTCTCTGGTGTAACAGGAATAATGAATGGTGCAAATGTCTCCGGTATGGTAATATACTGCATAGTTTTGGTTATTGATTGATGGATATAATATGTTTATATATGTATATATATATATATATATATATATATTGTAACAACATTAATTTTTAGTCTCATCTCGATTAAGTGTCTGCTGTGAATTCTCACATACTATGTATCGTGTCAAACGTGACTACATGGTAAAAATAAATTCTCTGCCTCTCCCTCCCTCTCCACATTTACATTTATATAATCTATATTTATTCCGAAGGTAGTGGATTTGTGCTAAATATGTAGTCTAAACAAAACATTGTGATTTATCAGTTAGCTGTGTCAGACTTTTATATATCTTCAGGTGTATATCTATCCATCATCTTGTTTTTGCGAAAATCGATGAATATAATATGCAGTAGAACAAGTGTGTTTATAGGAAGCCACTAGATGGCTGATACTGCTAATTTATCTGTATCAGTATCGGAAAAAGAAACCTGAATCACCATACGGCGGTCGGTCTTCTGCCACATAATTGTTTGCCCTGTATTTGTCCAAACTTTTTAAAATAGGACAGTATAAAATAACATGTTGCTAGGTTGGTCAACATAAATTAGAATAAATTTCTAGTCTTTTCCAGTTATTCCCAGACAATTTTGTCTTTTGTTTTGAAACAGTTTTCAAATTTTCAAGCAAAAGCCGCTTTTTTCTCCTTCATGGTGGTAGTCGTATCACTGCGGACAGAGACAGCTGGGATGATAATAAATCGTCAGTCGTAACTGAATTCGTGAAATACACCAGATTGACTTTGTATGTGTGAATGCAAAATTAGAAAGTTTAGTTGTATGTAGTAGGTGGTTTTTCTTATTCCTTCGCGTTCTGAGGGGAACACAAGGGCGCTGAAGCTTTAAGCTTCGGATTTTTAGTAAAGGTTTTGTTTTTCAGCAGTAAGACGGTTAGCCCCAGCGGCAATATCCCCTCTTTACTAGTCGTATTACCGACAAGGTGAGGTTTAGAAGTGCGTTAGCAGGGGATCGGACCCTGATCCGCATGCATGGTTGG